TATTAAAATAGATAGATAATAGATGGATGATAGATTAGCTAGATAGTAGATAGATATAAATATAAAAACAAATGATAGATGGATGATAGAAATAGATAGATACAGATATAGATAAGTAAAAATAGAGATTCAGAGATTAGATAAATAGCGATAGATATATGATGAGATAAATGATAGATATGATAGATGATAAATATAAAAATAGAGATGTAGATGGATTATACATGATAGAGGTAGATAAGTATAAAAATAGAGATATAGAGATTGGATAGATGGATGGATATAGATATGATATAGAGATAGATAGAATTCTACATTGGCCAAGTGTGATTGGATACACAAAGAATTTGTCTCGTGCATAAGCCCAGAGTGTATATATAAACAACAAATAATGGATCATATCTCATAAATCATAATTACATAGTACCGTGGTGGTTGTTAAGTGAATCAGGCTTCCCTGTTGAATTTGCTTGTCAGAAGGTCGTAAAAGGGGATCATGTGACTCCGGGACTCTGCAACTGTCGTAAAAGTGAGTCAATGGCCAAGAATTTGAATTTTGATCACAAAACCATGGGGATGCCCCTTTTTTAGTGCTGTTGTAACTTTGAACAGTCACTAAATGAATTTTCGTAAGTCAAGGACTACCTGTGCTTGCATGGCAACCTATTAGGAGACCTTGGGAAAGTAGATAGGAAGAGGAGGAAAAAATAGAAAAGGAGGAGAAGATAGGAGACGTTTCATTACCAGACTTGGTAACATCATCAATTCTAGAAGGGAGTGGGGTTCATGGAAAGGAGGAGGAGGAAGAGATAGAGAAGGAGAAAATAGAAAAGGAGGAGAAGATAGGAAGAAAATCGAGGAGCAGCAGCAAGAGAAGAAGGATTGTGAGACCCTTTCTACTCTTTGAGCTTGGTTATTTCCTTGCAGACGTTTCATTACCAAACTTAATAACATCATCAATGCTAGAAGGGAGTGGGATTCATGGAAAGGAGGAGGAGGAGGAGATAGAGAAAATAGGAAAAGGAGAAGAAGAAAATAAATATAAGGAAGGAGGAGAAGGCACGGAGGGGGGAGAAAAGAAGGAGAAACAGAAGATAGAAAGGAGAAGATAGATGAGGAAAAGACCAATTTTTTTTATCGATAAGAAAACTCTATGGAAAACTCCATGAAGACACCAGATCTTGAAAAAAAAGAAAGCAAAACATTGACTTTTTAGGATGCATGGCAGTCTTCAAAGCAAAGAGGCGACTGATCAGTTTATTTATTGAATTGTTCAACTCATGCTCTGCCCAATATTCAGACAGCAACCCCAGCAAATCCCAGGATTGTGGGTTAAACAGGGAAAACGTGCCAGAAAAGCTACGTGGGTGGATAAATCAAGTCACAGAATCATAGAATGGACAATTTTCACCCTGTTTTTTGTATTGTGCTTAAAAAGAGGACGTAAGTCTCTACATTTTCTAGGCTTTTCGTATGAATATAAGTTTCTCTTTCAAAGGAAATAGGGGTACATTGAGACGTCCTAATATGTCCCCTCTCATCTTGTTGATGTAAGGACAGATAGTCCTTGACTTACAACAGTTCATTTAGTGACTGTCGAAGTTACAACGGCATTGGAAAAAGTGACTTAAGATCGTTTTTCACACTTACAACCCCGGTAGCATCCCCAGGGTCGCATGATCAAAATTCAGACCCTTAGCAACTGACTCATATTTATGACGGCTGCAGTGTCCCCAGGGTCACATGACCCTCCTTTTGTGACCTTCCAAGCCAACGCCTGACAAGCAAAGTTAATTAAGGAGCAAGATTCGCTTTAACAACCACATTTCCCTTACTAACTGAAGAGATTTGCTTACATTTGTAAAATGGGGCATAGCTCACTTAACAATAGTCCTGCTTAGCAATGAAAATCTCCGGCTAAATTGTGATCGTAACTCGAGGACTACCTACACGACTTCCAATGGGGCTAAGCAAGTGAAAATTCTGATGCCCAAAACTCAAAATTCTTCGGATTCTCTTCATACATGTAGTCCTTCACACATGGCAATAATGCAGTCTAACCATTATGGCAGGAGTCTTCAAACTTGGCACATTTAAGACTTGTGGACTTCAACTCCCAGAATTCCTCCTCCAGTCATGTTAGCTCAGGAATTCTGAGAGCTGAAATCCACAAGTCTTAAAACGTGTCAAGTTTGAACACCCCTGCCATAATGGCCATAGGTTGTGTGACAATTGTAAATCGGGTCAGTCTCATGAGCAATCCAATTATACACCCTTCCCCCCCCACCAGTCATTAAACCAGGCCGGCAGTCATTAAACCAAAGTCCGGCCTGGCGGCCAATTGCGGCCCATTTTCAAATTTTGAGCGGCCCACAGCCTCTTCTCCCCGATGGCTCAGCCTGTCACTCATCCCCACTGGCCAGTGTTTTTCCCATTTAATGTTAATGGTTCAAAAAAAAAATGTCAGGCTGAATTGTCGGCTCCACACATTTTCACCTCACCAAATCTGGCTCTCCTTGCAAAAAGTTTAGACGCATTAAACCTTTTGGGCGCCAGGAACAGATTCCATGGATCGAGGTTTTTCCAGGGACTGGGGGATTCGTGGTTTCCTGTGCTGCCTTCATCCCACAGACTTGTGGGGTTTTGCTTGTTTTCACGATCCAGTTTCTGACATGCCAAAGGCCCCGGGCCCAGTGGTAGAATTCAGCCAGTTTGCACCAGTTCAGGAGAATTGGTTGTTAACTTTCTGAGTCATTTGGTGAACTTGTTGTTGGAAGAAATCATTAGGGTAGAGAACTGGTTGTTAAATTATTTGAATCCCACTACTGCCTGTGCCAGTCTACAGACTGGAAGTTGGGGACCCCTGGTTAAACCCACGGTTTGCTATGGCAGTGTTGCCGAAAACTGGAAATAACTTCCAGGTTTTGGCATAGCCACGGCAAAAGAGGTCCATGTGTTTGCAGGACACAAGTAAGGACCATCCTTGCAGCTGTGCTGACCAGCAGCTGAAGGGAGATCATATGACCACCCAGGAAGGGGACACCACGAGATCCTCAGAACTGAATCCTGGTTCTAGGTAGGTTGTAACCTCCAACGGCCGCTAAGGAAATAGTTATAAGTTGAGGACTGTCTGCATTACATCTTCGAGAACATGCTTTGAGATGTCCATAACAAATTTTTACATCCTTATTACCTGCTCCCGCCATCGCTAAATCTAGAATAAATTCCCGAGGTTGTTTCTTGGGCTGCTCTTCACACTATGCTTGGACAGTCCTTACTGACCTACACTGACCACTTATTTCCTCTTAGATGGACAGGGCTGGACAGAGCTTTTGAGTGACGCTAGATCCTCCGTTTTGGTGCATCCTGGCTCTAAACATCTAGATACAACTTCCTGCTTCATTTTGATCCTTGATGTACAACCACGATGGAGCCCAAAATTTATGTTGCTAAGTGAGACACTTGTTTTGCTCCATTTTACAACCCCTTAACACAGTTGTTAAGTGAATCTGGCTTCCCCACTGACTTTGCTTGTCAGAAGATTGGAAAGGGGGTTCACGTGACCCCCGGGGACACTGCAAAGGTCACGAATCAATTGCCAAGGATCCAAATTGTAATCACGTGATCACGGGGATGCCACGATGACCTTAAGTGTGAAAAAATGGCCGTAAGTCACTTTTTTTTCAGTGCTGTTGTAACTTTGAATAGTCACTAAATGAATTGTTGACTGCCTGTAATTGCAAAGAGGAATCTTGTGGCATGATTCAGGAAGCAGAATTGAAACCAAGTGTTGTTATTCAGGCCCTTGCAGAAGTGCCCCGAGGACCAGATGTTTTAAAATCCTCTTGTCTCTGACAATCCACCATGTTACATGGAAGACATGTAAAAGGCTGGGCAAAGAAGCAATGCCAAGGAAACAGTCACATAAGAGATGACACACAGTGGTGGGATTCTACCAGTTTCCCTACCGGTTCAGTGATTGTGCACTTTTTACAACTGGTTTGGGGAGCCGTGCTGAACCAGTAGTATTTCACCACCGATGACACATCTGCATAATGCACAGAGAAAGAGGCTCAAAAAAGGCAGCAGGAGATCTGCACTTTCAGACTTGCAAGATTCTGTTAATGCAGCTTTACAATAAAGTAGAATTAGATCCTGATTTACCCCACAAGACCTGACATGTTGGCTAGAAATGACAGGAAATAGGAACCGTCTTTCTCTTAAATGACAGGGTCATTGGGCTGAGACTCCGACGGAAATTATACATGTGTGTGTGTCTTTCCACCCAAAACAATCCTGGAGACGTCTTAGGCATCTTACACAAATCCAGAAAGTTTATATAACCTCTCTTATTTTTTTTTTGCACAATTCTTGTTAGGGGAAGTGGAGGAGGTAAATTGTTTGGCAGAATGAAGCTGTCACAACATTTAAACAACAGAAATGAAATTAGTTAGGAACTCCCATTTCTTTTGAAAGTATCTTGGCAACTAGAAAGTTGGTGCCCTCTCTATCCCCCAACAAGGCAGAAATTCACAATGACACGGGTTCTATTCCTTCTAGCGCCACCTTCTGCTTTCCTGGAGAACACACACAAAATTAGTCCTATGAATTAGCACACACACACACACAGGGGGAAACACGCTGCTTTAAGCCCCCCAAGACTGCAAAAAGCAAGATCCTATGATTTTTTTTCCAAATGCGATTAATTAAGCATATGAAACCTCCCTATTTCACTCAGGTGTCCGCATCTCCAGATATGTCTACAGGCAGTCCTCATTTAGCGACCATAATTGTCAGTCGCTAAGTGAAGCAACTGCTAAGTAAAATCACGACTGTGCTTAATGATCTTCCTTCCGCTTTCCTTTGATTTACAAACCTGTAAAGGTTATGAATGGAAGACTGGCCACCAAAAAAAATGATTGTTTCGCTTTCCCACCGTTAACTACGAAGGGTCACTAAAAGAGGCGGTGGCTAAGCAAGGGCGGCCCTTCCTGCCATTCTGAGTTTTCCATCCGCCTGTAATTCCAGTTCTTCTTGCCAAGCCTGGTCACTCCATCTGAGTTTCGTGCACATTCGGCATCTCACGGCTGTGGATTTTCTGATGTCGCCGGAGATATTTCTTCAGCCGAAATTGCTTCCCGCAAATGAAGCATTTTTGGTCTCCCTCGCTTAGGTGCAGCTTTTGGTGCTTCACCAGGTACTTTCTTTGCGTGAAAAGTTTCCCACACTTGGTACAGTTGCAAGGCCCCATCTGGATGTGGATCATCCGGTGTCTGAAAAGATTGGTCTTCTGGTTGAAGGTTTTCTCACACTCGGGACACTGATACGGCGCTTCCCGCGTGTGGATTTTTTGGTGCCGGATGAGATTGGACCTCCGGCTGAAGCTCTTCCCACACTCGGTGCATTTGAACGGGTCGCTCAGGTGCATCCGCTGGTGTCGAAGGAGCTGCCGGTTCATGCGAAAGCTTTCCCCGCACTTGGCACACTTGTACGACCCTTCGGTCGTGTGAATTTTATGGTGCCGAGTGAGGTTAGACTTCTGATTGAATTCTTTGCTGCAAACGGGACAGGGGAACGTTTTCTCTGCTTTCGGCTCTTCCAGGAGGACGGGGAGATTTTTCTGGGACTTGGCAAAGCCCCCGTCCTGTTTGGTGAACATGGAGGTGGGGGGGCGCCTTTTGAGGAATATTGAGGGCGGGTCAATGTTTTCCCCAAACTCTGAATCGAGGGGAGGGTTGGCGTTGGCTTCCTTTTTTATCCTTTGAGACAGGAACGGGACAGAGTTTTGGCACAGGGACCACTCATATTCGGGGTGCTCTAAATCCTCCTCTTTGATGCCGATTTGGGATGCACCCGCTAAGCAACTGGCATGTATTTCAATATTCTCTGCTTCCTCCTCTGGCTGAAATTCCAGAGGAAAATTGGAATATTTCTTCGGCGAGTGCTTTTGCTCGGCTGAATCCAGGGTTTTTTTCCCACCGAGAGACCCCAAATGTAGAGCCAGATCTTCTTCCATAGAAAAGTTCCATGGCGGATTTATCTCTATTTCCTTTTTATTCTGAATTCCCCATGGACCTTTAACCATCTTTGGATTGCCTGCAGCTTCCCAAACATCTCTCTCCTCGGATGCCATCTGCACCTGAGTTTGGGGCCTTTCCTAAGAAAACTCCTGTTTGCTGTGTGTTGTTTGGAACCGAATTAACCGGTTGGTTCCATCACCTGGTGGTACCCTTTTCTCTCCAGGGCCATATAGACAAATGAACTACCTGGGAAGAAAAGCGTAACAATGAGGTCAGGTCACAAACTTTTTCCCCTCCTGAGCAAGTCTGATTAACATTTCCTCAATATCCTTTTCATTGTGTTTGAAGGATGCAAAGTCCAGCCGTTTATGAATTTTTGAAACTGACCACGAATTCAGAGCAGAGGAAGACTGAATGGCTCACTTTTCAAGGTAAACAATTCTTTGATCAGAGTTGCTGTCATATGTACTGCATAGTAGAACAATTTTTTTCTTCTGGAAGATATTTTGATATACAGATTATCTCTCAATGCCAAAACCCTTGTTATACTTGTCGCTTGACATGCAATTCTTAATATTCTTTTTTTCTCTTTTCTTCTTTCTTTCCTTCCCTCCTTCCTTTCCTTCCTTTCTTCTTTCCCCCTCTCTCTCTTCTTTTTTTGAGAAATGAAACAAAGTTTGCACAAGTTTGTTCTTTCTTCTGACTTCAGCTCGGACTTTTTATTGACATGTTTTCAGTCTTCCACTACAATAGAAGAAGCACTGTTGTAATCAATATAATTGATATTCTAATCCTCATGAAATTCTTTGGGCGATATTCTTAGTTTTACCTGTTTGATTGAAGAAAAAAGAAAGAAATAGATCTTAAGGGGATTGCAAAATATCTGAAGCCTTTCTTGGTTTTTTCCCCCCCATCTTATTTTAATTCTCTTCCTGCATTTTCTTTTGTATAAAATTACAGCTGGGGACCAAACCTGGTTATATCAATGGGATGAGAATAACCATCCACTTGTGGTTTATAATCCCAAATTAGCTGGAAGTTGTTTGATTGATTTCCAAGTAGAGACATCTGGCAAAAGTCCAGTGGGAGTTGGTCAAACAATGGTAGGGACAACTAAGCAGTCCTTTATTTCTGACCACAATTGAGCAAAATTTCCATTGCTAAGCCATTGTTAAGTGAGTCATTGTAATTAAGTTACTAATAACACGGTTGTTAAGTGAATCTGGCTTCCCCCATTGACTTTGCTAGTCAGAGGGGCACAAAAGCGGATCATATGACCCCCCCCAGGACCCTGCAACTGTCATAAATACGAGCCAGTTGCCAAGCGTCTGAATTTTGATCAATTG